AGAAACAGTGTCGTGTGCCATTGTAACGAGGTGAAATTTGAGTCGACTCAAAAGTCACATGGGTCGCATGGGTACTAGAACATGCGACCCATCTAAGCACCAAAAACATTCACGGGAGGATCAAAGGAGTGTGACTGAGAGAACCTAGGGGCGCTTGACTGGGAGTGTGAGATGGATGAGGAGGAAAGGGTTGGGGTCCTTGACTGGCCATCTCACACGGATTATGCTATCTAGTCCAGACATTCTCACAGACGCGTCATGGAGTGTGACTGAGAGCACCTAGGGGCGCTTGACTGGGAGTGTGAGAAGAGATGAGGAGGAAAAGCAGGGGACCGTTGACTTGAGAGCTCACAGGGGGAACAGCAGCAGCATGCATCTGATACTCACAGAAGCATCGTGCAGAGTGACGGAGAGCAGCTGGGGATCCTTGACTGTGACTGTGGCCACGCGTGACAATGGCGAGGGGCGGCCGTATGCCTCCAAGTGCACGTGGTCAAGCAGGCCTGTGAATGTGATTGTGACGAGGGTGGGAGCAGTGACGGGTGAGAGTAAAGAGGGGTGAGTGAGCGGAACGTGAGAGTGAACAGGAGGGGCAGCAAGGCAATACACATCCACATGCACGTGATTATGGAGACCTGTGAGTGTGACAGTAACGAGGGTGGGTAACGAAAGACTTGCGGTGCAATCCGGGGAAGGCAAGGCCCGTCCTTATCTTGGCCAACCTCTTATCACAATGATAGAAGCTCTTTTGCCTCCTCCCCCACATGCACCCTCACTGTAGGTTGGTTTGAATTGAAGACGTCAGAACACACCAGCACCAGATCTATCCCCGCCCCCCTGCACCGCCTTCTCGCCTCCCCCACCAGCACCTTCAGTCACCCAACCCGTGGTGGCTTCCCAGTCGATTCACAAGTCACCTCCCTCCTGTGTGTTTCTGTGACGTGTCTAGGGGTGTATCTGAATCTCACCAGGGGCGGCACGGCCTGTGAGTATCTTGGCGAGCTCTTTGATAAGAGCCTCTTTCGCCTCCTCCACATGCACCTGCACCAGATCTACCGCCCCCTGCACCGCCCCCCCCCCCCCACATACACGTTCACTGACCCAATCCAGGGCAATGAGGTGACTTTTGAGTCGACTCAAAAGTCACCTTGCACCTGCACCGCCCCCCTGCACCGCCTCCTCCTCCCCCCCCCCCCCCCACATACACGTTCACTGACCCAATCCAGGGCAATGACTGATCTTAAGGATGTGCCAACCTCCTGTGTGCTTCTGTGACGTGCCTACCCTGCTGATGAATCGAATGCAACTCTTTTTTGAGGCGCCTCAAAAAACAACCTCCTGTGTGCTTTTGTGACGTGCTTCTGTGACGTGCTTCTGTGACGTGCCTACCCTGCTGATGAATCGAATGCAACTCAGAATCCATCCCAGGCTTACCAGGGGCGGCACGGCCTGTCCTTATCTTGGCAAGCTCTTTGATAAGAGCCTCCTTCGCCTCCTCCACATGCACCTGCACCAGATCTACCGCTCTCTGCACCGCCTCCTCGCCTCCCCCCTCCTCCTCGCCTCCCCCTCCTCCCCCCCCACGGCCTTTCTTCACGCCGGCCCCTTTCTTCCCAGAAGCTTCCTTCTTGTCCTTGCCTTTCTTCCTGGCTCCGGATTTTGATCCTCTTCCTGCTTCTTCCTCCTCCTCTTCCTCTTCTTCTTCCTCTTCCTCCTGTTCCCTCTCCTCATTCTTGCCTTGCTTCTTGTGCTGCTTATGTAGCTTGTCTATCAGAAATGGGAGAAGAAAAGGGGTGTGAGAGAGAGGGGACTGCTGAGCCGAGATGAAAGGAAACTGTTTCTTGCGCAGCTTGCTCTTTTGCTAAAGCCTAGACTACACAACTGCTTCTCTCGGAGGATAGCCATTTGAAAAAGGGGGTGTTTTTGAGGCGTCTCAAAAACTGCTGCTCTCTTGAGGGTGCTTAAAACCGGAGTCCCAAACAGCCCAAAACTGCCTCAACCTTCCTAACTTTGGTTGGGTGTGACCCAGTTGATACCGAGCTCTCCTCGCAAATTGTTGGGACGATTTTCGCCAAGCGAAATTACTGTTCAAGCGAGGACGATAGCGGTGACAACTTCGCAAACAAATTTGCAGCCCGTCCGAAAGAGTCTGCGAACGAAATCTGACGTAGCATTCCAGATCTGGTTACGCTCGCGACTTTTTCTTACTAAGCGACCCGCTACCACCGATTCGACACCACCCTGGCTCGCGAGCCAGTCACCTTTCTCTCCCCTTCCAATTTTCCTAACTTAGAAACTCTTGGACCTCCGGTTTTAACCCTCTTTTCACGTGACTACACACAACTGCTGCTCTTTTGCTTAAGCCTAGACTACACAACTGCTTCTCTCTGAGGATAATGACTGAAGTAGAAGTGAGCGCGAGTGTGTAGCTGCTCGCTTCTTCCGCAACTTGTGAGTCCGATTTGGGGGAAGCAGAAGTCATCTCGCTTCTTGCGCACCATGTGTGTGAGATTTGCGCAGAAGTGAGCAGGAGTGAGCAGGAGTGAGCAGGAGTGAGCAGAAGTGAGCAGCAGTGAGCAGAAGTGAGCAGGAGTGAGCAGAAGTGAGCAGGAGTGAGCAGAAAGAAGTGAGCAGGAGTGAGCAGGAGTGAGCAGGAGTGAGCAGGAGTGAGCAGGAATGAGCAGAAGTGAGCAGAAGTGAGCAGGAGTGAGCAGGGGTGAGCAGGAGTGAGCAGGAATGAGCAGGAATGAGCAGGAGTGAGCAGGAGTGAGCAGAAGTGAGCAGGAGTGAGCAGAAGTGAGCAGGAGTGAGCAGGAGTGAGCAGGAGTGAGCAGGAGTGGGAGCTCAGCTCACTATCCTACGGGAATATTTCTCCATTCAAGCACATTCCCTACAAGCACCTTCCCTACATGCACATCCGTATCGCACCCGTTCGGCGGTGCGAGTGCGCGAGGCACCGCCTTGGGATCATCGTGGCTGCGGCCGGCGGGAGGGGCGATCCTGAAATCGAACGGGCGCGCGGAACAATGAGCGGAGCGGCGTTGGCGGGGAGAACGGGGAGCGGTTGTACGGGGAACAGGGGAGCGGGGGGAGACGGCGGGGAAGCGGGGAGTCCGGCTAGCGACGCGACGACACGTGGAAGGCTCGGCGCGCTAGGTTCGGTGCTAATGTGGCAGATTCGCGACGCGCGAGTGTCGCCATGGGACGGTGGAGAAGATGGAAACTGAGAATCTACGGTTCGATCGAAGCCTGGTAAATCGACGGTTGCTGTGGCAATGGCGCGTGATCGAAGGGCCGGTTCCGGATTGGTAATACGCGCGGAAATGGCGGCCCGCACAAGGCGGCGCGAGCTACGGAACGCCATGGATGCGGTCAGCTATGTTGAAAGCCGCCTTGCGGCTGCCGCAGATTCGTGACGAAATCGGACAGAACCATGAGGTGGGGCAAAGATTTTGTGAGAACAATGGCGGATTCGTACGGTGCACTACGGTGGTGTTTGATACGAACAGACTCGTTAGAGCGAGGATGTGGCAGTCACTACAAGTACGACTTGTACCGTTTACTCGTTTGCTGTCACACAGAAACTTACACAACACAGATCCAAATCTAGCTAATAAAGATATGAATAACAAATGCTTCTTATTACGTAAATATACTCAATACAAAGCCATCATTTTAGCCGTGCCATGACCCCGCATCACATAACCAATTTTTTGGCGTCACGTCACCATCTTTTGGGACTACCTCACAATCAGGCCTTCAGATTGGTTTTGGTGAACCCTGGGTGATCAGGGTACGAGGTTAAGTGAAGCCTGATGGCTAGGGTTAAAAAAAAAAATTCCCTGTATTCTGCAGCGTAAAAATTCCAATGCACTGAATCAGTCAGTATGAAAATGTCTCTACACTGAATTTAGCAGCATAAAGTTGCAGATAACAGACTAACAGAACTACCATTGGGTTTCTTTCCCTAGTCCTCCTCAAGTAACAGGGTCAGAAGATCCCTCCTTGTCATCATCAGCAAAAAGAGCCTCTCCTGGGTTGGTGCCACTGAAGTCCTTTGTTGACCGCCGCAGCTTCTCTCCCCTGAAAATCGACACCACCTCGTACCAGTCCACGTCGTACTGGAGCAGAGAGCATCTCATCAGATGCTCGAGGGTCGTGTCAGAGAGGGCGCCACGCTCCCACGACTTGATCAGATTCTGCTTGCTAAATCCCATCTCGCACTCCACCGTGCTCAGTGGTAGCACGGCAACAGCCTGCCACATCCGCATCAGGTTGGGGAAGGAGTGCTGCCATGCGTCGTCCCGAAGCATGTTCCCCAGCGCCTGGTGGAAGTCCTCGTCGTTGTGCTGTGAACATGGTAGACGTGAACATCCACAGCTCGCTCAGTGCCCTGGTGTATTCAAATCCTGATAATCGGGAGTGGGAATTACGGAGGGTATACTTGTAGCAGGCGGGAGGGAGGGGGAATCTTAAACCAAACAATCAACAAGGCGCAGGCATGAGTGTACGAAGATACTATACATCAACGCGCATGCGTACAGGTACCCAACAACCACGCTCGCACACAAACAGAACACATACATACCTGGCAGTTTGTTGTTGAACAGTTTGTGCAGTTGAGCCAGCCACTTTTTGAAGGTCTCCACACGCTTTGTATTGTCTGTGACGTATGATGCTGAGCGAAACAGCTTCGACCCCTCCAGATGCGCCAGGTCCCTCATGCGCCACTCCAGCTCCTTATCGATTTCACGCACGAACTTCAACGACAGCTCGTAGCACGCCTCCACGTCACCGGCCGTCTCGTGCCCTTTGAATTTCCTCTCGTGCAGCTCGTACTCGAAGGTCACGGGGTTGCCATCACTGTCTACGCCCTCAGCCTTCACCTCCCGCTTGTCCATCTTCTGGTGGCGCTGAATGAAGTCGTTGAGGGTCATCTTTTCCCCGCTGCCGAAGTTATGAGATGGGGAATCGTTCAAATATCGGTTCTTCAGGCGCCATCATGTCTGCTGCACCAGGTGCCTCACCAGAGTGATGTCAATCTGCAGGTTGATTACAAGTGACAGGGTAAGCGACATGTATAATTGAAACACGTTGGATAAGGAACACAACAGAATGGGTATGTGCCAACCGTACCTGCCTTTGCTGGGACCGCTGATTCAGGAAATTCGGCTCCCAAAGCACATCAGCAAGCAGGCGTAGCAACCTCGTACAGATCGGCGTTGTACTCCTTCAGCTCCACAATGACCGCAGGTAGGATTTCGAGGAGGCCTCTAACTGCCTCTCCACGTGACAGCCATCGAACTTCATGAATGCCTTGAGCCTCGAGGTTGGTCCTGCAGAACACCTGCTGGATGTTGTGAAACTTGTGGTACTTTACGTTGGTGACAAAGTTTGAAGAAAAGAAGAGGATTGAACTAGCAGGAATGAGGATACAAATAGCAAACCCTAGAAGGGTTGTACTCGCTATAGAGCACCCCACTACAGGCTAGAACATAAGATAACATTCTGACACACCCCCATAGCCAAAGTGGGGTGTAATCAGCAGAGCAGGCAAAGCAGTACAAGCTCAGGGTGGATCACAATGTCACCACACATTCTGAGCACAAGTTCAAGAAGCAATAGTTTAAAGTTCACAATTATGAGCAAAGCTAGTGGTAGTCACAACGGGCAAGTGAGGAGGTGGAGAGAGTGTGAGGGGAGAGGAGATAGGAGGCGACGGCTGAAGCTGCAGACACACGGGCAACAGTAGGCAGACTGGCACAGCGGCTACCGGGCAAAGCCCCCGGAATACTGGAGTAACTGGCCCCGCGGCTAAAGTAGCGGCAGACGAGCAACGGACCCACGGGCGGCTGGCGTAGAAGTCTACGACTGGGCTACCGGGCGAAGCCCCCGGACTACAGGTGCTGCTGGCGACACGACGGCAACCTCCGTGCAACTTCCCAAAACAGTCCCACCCCCCCTGACACACACCCGCTGCTACACCGCTAGCTCCACTCCCACGCACCCCCCCTTAAACCCTAAACCCCAGTCTCCCACACATCCACCCCCCTCAGCGACAGCTGCAGTAGTGGGAGACGAAGGAGGAGGAGGAGCAAAGGGAGGAATGAGGAAGTGCCACCCCCATACTCGCCACCCCCTGCTCGCCACCCCCAAACCCTAACACAGACAGGGTGGGATGGCGGGTAGGCAGGGTGGGATGGCGGCGCTCGCCCCCCTCCCCCAGGTAAATCCTCCCGTCGCCTGTCGAGGCGACCCTCGGGGGCCGCGACGGGCGACGGGAAATGGGGCCGGGGCGCAAGGAGGGCGGCGGGGCCACGGGTGTAGGGCGGCGGGGCCGCGAAGGTGGGGCGGCGGGGCCGCGACAGAAGGGCGGCGGGGCCGCGAAGTGGGGCGGCGGGGCCGCGAACGTGGGGTAGCGGGGCCGCAAAGGAAGGCGGCGGGGCCGCGACGGTAGGCGGCGGGGCCGCGAAGATAGGTGGCGGGGCCGCGACCGTAGGTGGCGGGGCCGCGAAGGTAGGTGGCGGGGCCGCGTAAGGTAGGGCGGCGGGACCGCGAAGGTAGGTGGCGGGGCCGCGTAAGGTAGGTGGCGGGGCCGCGTAAGGTAGGCGGCGGGGCCGCGACCGTAGGTGGCGGGGCCGCGAAGGTAGGCGGCGGGGCCGCGAAGGGTCCCCGTCGCCCGTCGCGGCGCCTCCAGAAGGCGACGCGGCGAACGACGGGGCAGAAGCCCGCCGCGCGCCTCGGGGCGCACAGCGGGCAGAGAACCACCGCGCGCCTCGGGGCGCACGGCGGGCAGAAAACCGCCGCGCGCCTCGGGGCGCACGGCGGGAAGAAAAAATGGCAGCGGAAGCGAGGAGGTGGTAACCCACCCACAGGATCGATCCAAGGGGATCGACCTGCTATGATAGCATGACAAAGTTTGAAGAAAAGAAGAGGATTGAACTAGCAGGAATGAGGATACAAATAGCAAACCCTAGAAGGGTTGTACTCGCTATAGAGCACCCCACTACAGGCTAGAGCATAAGATAACATTTTGACAGTTGGAACGGTCGATGAGGTCAGCGAAGCCACGGACAACACTGTCCACCATAAAGAGTTCGGGAACTGCTTCCGCAGCATTTTTTGCAGCCAAAGCCTCCCTGCAAGTGTAAACAATGAAGCAGCGTGAGAACGATGGTGGATAACAGAAACAAACATTACTAGCTTTACATCAGGTAAGAACCTACCGATGTGCGACGCAGTGCGTTGAGGCAAGATGAGGAATCCGCATGCGCAGACGGGCGACAACACCAGTGTGCTTCCCCATCATGACATTCGCACCGTCCGTTGATACGGACGAGATCTTCTGAAGATCCAGTCCAATCCCTGTCAGGTACTGCACCATAGCAGAAGTCAAAGACGCGGAATCAGCACGGTCTCTTAAGAACCTAAGGAAAGAAATGAGTGAATTAGGTGAAGGCTAGGGTACAAGACTACGGTATCGAGAAAGTTTGTGTACCCCCTAGTGCTAACCCCCATACAGCCTAGATAACCTAAACAAGCATATATATATAATTTGACACACCCCCATAGGTGAAATGGGGGATAGCCAGAGCAAGCAACGGTCACAAGACCAGTCAAGAGAAGAAACAAAACACAGCTCATGGTGGATCACAACGTCACCACGTAGTCTGAGCACAAGCAAAAGACCACAAGGCCAGTTCACATGCAGATATATATATATATATATATATATATATATAGATCACAGTACAAACAAAGCCTACAGCAAGTGAGGAAGTGTGGGCACTAGGCCTAACAAGGTGCAGAAACGCTGATGATAACCAGGCGGAAGCGCCTTGGTGAATATATCAGCAGTGTTGGCCCGAGTGGCCACGTAAGCAAGGCGAAGCTGGCCACGCTGCTGCAGCTCTCGAGCAAGGAAGTAACGCAGAGCGATGTGCTTCGTTCTGTGCTCCACTCTGTGCTCCTGACACAAGGCAATGGCGGCCTTGTTGTCAACGTACAGAACTGGAGGAGAACGAGGCCGCTCTCCCAAGTCGGTCAGCAGGTAGGTGAGCCAGCGTAGCTCCTGTGCAGCCATGGCTGTGGCGTAGATCTCGGCCTCACAGCTGGAGCCGAGAACTGACGACGAACGTGTAGAACGCCAGGAAACTGAACCAGAACCAAGGCTGAAGGTGTAACCCTATGACGACCGCTGCGTAGCCTGGTCGTCAACCCAAGAGGCGTCCGAGTGACCAGTGAGGACAACGTCACCCCGTCCTCCAAGCATGAGCCCCATGCCCGATGTACTACACAAGTAGCGTATTACCCTCTTAGCAGCATCCATGTGCACCTTTCGGTGCCGACAAGGAGCCACGTAGCGAGCCAGAAGGCCAAGAGGGTACGCAATGTCAGGACGAGTGCAGGTCATTAGGTACATGAGGCAGCCCACTAGCTCTGGGCAAGGACCACTCGGCTCTACGGACTCGTCCAAAGGTAGAGCTGAGAGCAAGTGCCCTGTAGCCAGAGGAGTGGCCTGTGCTGAGGACCGGGTGAAGCCGAAGCGCTGAAGGACCTGCTGCACCATGTGTGACTAAGTCAGTGTGATGGTGCGGCGTGCTCTGTCCCGGGTGATATGCAGGCCAAGGTAGCTGCGCAGCTCACCCAGGTCTGTGCACGTGTGTCTCTTCTGCAGCTCCGACTTCACCAGGGCGAGCGCCTCATTGTCAGAAGAGGCAAAGACCAAGTCTTCGACGTACACGAGGATGTAGAACGGCGGGAGCGAAGTGTCGGTGCGCAGAAACAGCGACGGGTCAGCAGTCGACGGGGCAAACCCAAGAGCCGCAAGAGTCGTCCTCAGTGTGTCGTGCCACTCACGTGGCGCCTGGCGGAGACCGTAGACTGGCCGTCGGAGGCTCCACTGGGTACCAGGAGGGAACGACCCAGTGAAGCCAGGTGGACGGCGCAGCCAGACCTCCTCGTGCAGCTGCCCTGCAAGAAAGCTGTGCTGAAGTCAAGAGAGTGAAGCTCGTAGTCACGTTGAGCGGCAACGTGTAGCAACACCCGAAGAGTGGTTATCTTCGGGGTGGGGGAGAAGGTCTGGAAGAAGTCAACTCCCTCTCGCTGTCTGAAGCCTCGAGCAACGTAACGAGCCTTGAGGACAGGTGGAGAACCTGGCGGCCGCTTCACCCTGAAAATCCACATGCCACTGACGATGTTCGCCCAAGGAGGGGGAACCTCGTCGACGTAGGTGCCTGTGGACTTCCAGGATGCCATCTCTGCATCCATGGCTTTCTGCCACTGAGAGGAGTAGGGACCCTCGATCGCCTCAGCGTACGATCATGGAGTCGGGATGTCTGGTGCATTCGGGTCTCCCTTAGGGGCAAGCAACATGGACACGAGATGAGGCGCAGCGGCTGCAAGACACTCAAGGTCCTCCTGCCTGTCCTCAAGGACGTTCGTGCCAAGAGCACACTCACCCCCGACGGACGGAGGACAGACAGACTCATACTCAGCAACAAGACTAGCGGCGTAGTCTAGACGACAGTGAGCAGCAAAGTCGACAAGCTCAGCGACTAAGGGAGACGCAGCAGCAGACTCAAACGACGGGTCGGCGACAACAGTGGCTAGCAGACGCGTGACAATAGGGTGCTCAGCACAAAACCGATCAGACTTAGGGTCAGCAACGACAGGTAGAGAGGACGCAGGCGGAGACGGCAGGGGAACACGTGGCGGCGGAGAGGAAGGATGACGGACGACAAGGGAAGGGCCGGGGACAGCCGGCTGACGCTGAAGAGGAACACGACGACTGGAACGACCTTTAAGGACAGGTGAGACAGGACGCGACGCAGGCTCACGACGCTCAGCAAGGCCCCCTGTCTCCTCAGTGTAAGGAGAAGGAGCAGGCAGGGGTGAGCCAGGCTGTAACGGAAGACCAGTAGACGACGGGAGACTA